TTTTCCCCCCTAAGTGTCAACAAGTGAGCATGTCTGTCTGTGTGTATTTTCAGGACTTTCACCATAAGGACCCAACCTTTGACACCAATTAAAGAGATTATGTCTTAAGATGAGAGGAAAGCTATAGTTGTGTGTTACGGCAAGTGATTGCTTTTGACAAGGTCAAAGGGTACCGTGCAACAGTGCGTGACCCCAACAGGGCGGAGATGGGAGCAAAGAAAAAGAGAATAATTACTTTTTTAGACACTGAGACGTATTAATGTAACAGTGACAAATACTTGGCCTGGAAAGTATGAACAGCAGTATGCTATAGGGGCAATAAAAAACAGTAATGAACTCTTTCTGAGGGCTTATAGCAGCAGCTCTCTTCTCAAATAGCCTTTACACATCAGCATAAGAAGACTAGAATTGCAAAAATGATTAGTTTTATTTCAGAAAGAATGGCAGTAACTTTATACATCTTTATCATAATTTGGTTTAGCTTCAAATAATGCTCCAGAGTGCAGAATATCACACCCTGCACCCTGAAGAAAATTGATCAAATTGTGCTGGCACGGGTTTTGAAGCAGCAGGTAGACTAATGCATTTGCTGTAGCAGCTGAAAATGTGTCATGTACTCCTCACGTAGATATGAAAACTCATCTGGTATCTTATTCATACCAGGCGTGCAAAAATGACCATCATGTAACAGAAACTGTAAATAGCATTGTCACACTGCTTTTCCATTTGCCAAAGAAATCAGTGAAGTACAAATGAAGCTAAACTTGACTTGCTATGAATAAAAGAGGCAGCTCTGATTCTCCAAAGACAACAGATAGGGCTGATGAGCGTGACATGATGGATCCACTTTAATAGATTATTTAACCTCTGTCATGCGTTTGTGTTTTTTTTACCTTTCTTATTGCAGTCACTAACGCTTTTTTGTATTTAAAAAATGTGCTTAATGTTTTGTTTTGCTTAATTTCTATCTAAAGTTTTCTTATTATGATTATGCAATTTCTCCCAGAGGTTTTACGACAGCCTTAAAGTGTGGAAAATGAACATCATCATTAATAAACTAGCTTAAATAATCGATAAGACGCGGATGTTCATTGTATTTGCGTGGGCTGTTAATTTTTATGACTTCCACGGAATCATTTTTGTTATTTAAGAAAGTAGTATTCTTATTATTGATCAGAAATAAAAAGCTTTCGGGATATTTTATAATGAAAAACATTTTTTAGCTAGGTTATTTATTTATTTAGTACCTTTTAAATGAATGAAAATAAATTATAAAACTGTAGGACATTATTATAAAATGATGGTAACACTTTATAAAAATATATGATATAGTTCCAAGTCTGTAATGGCGTATTTATTTTACAGCTGTCTAGTTTTTCGAAGGGTGACAACGACGATAAGATGTTAGAAAAATGTAGCCCAACCATCTAATTTCTTCTTTAAATATGCAACAGAGGAAATCAACTATATAAGCTTGACAAGCAAAAGAAAAAAATCATTGTTGTGTAATTAACTTTTAAAGAGTCTTAAAGTCACAGCACCTCGAGGAGCTGTGTGCTGCAAAGCCTGTGTGCTAGCTAAGATCATTTCAGAGAGTTTTTAATAGTTTCCGATGTCCTACCTTGATGTGGAGGGCAGGTTCATCCTGACTCAAGTTTTGAGCCAACGGGAGGAAACTCATCGGCCTCCTCCTCCCCGTCTGTACTCCCCCCACCTCCTCCTTCTTCTTGTTGTTGTGTGTTTTCATGTTAATTGGCAGCAGTTGAACTGTGAGCCGTAAATCAAGAAGTGCACAGTGTATTAATGAGTCGGACCACCCAGGAAATCTATTTTCTCCGAACTTTCTTAGCGGACAATAAGAGGATACTCGAGTCTGCCATGCTCCGAAAACTATGAATGAACATTCACAAGAGCAGTGCTCCCCTGCTGCCACGTTTCAGCTAATGGCTGCTATAAGTATTTCCTAAAAAAAAAAAAAAAAGTGAAGAATTGCAAACAATAACAAATCATTTGTGGAGGGGGGTTATATGTATTTTTATACTTGAGCTTGGAATCAATTAAAAGACCTTCATTTCTGAGAAAAAGTTCTTTATAAGTCTGTTAAAGGTTTGAGCATTTTGCAGATTATTTCACCCATAATAACTTTTTTTCTAATATAGAGGAGGAGTTATTAATGCCAAAATCTTGCAGAAAAGTCAACTTATGGCAGGCTTTATGCAAAAAAGAAGGAAAGACATTTCCCATTACAAGTCCTTTTTAAAAATCCACCTAAAAAAGAAAAAAAAAATCTTACTATAAATAAATGTTTTTTTTCTCCATAAGAGTGGATCCTCAGAACTGAAAGCAGTACTATAATTGTCTTCCATTATTAAACCCCACAAAGCTAGACCATTGGCTACTAAAATACCAAGGTTAGTCTTGATTAAATGTCTTTCCAGGGCACAAAAAGCATGTTTTACATAAAACATCCTTCAAGGGGATTAAAGTATGATGTTGGAAAAAATATATATAAAATATTGCTGATGGCAAGGCCAAGCATCCCATTTCTCAAATGAAAGGTATCAAAGAGATTAAAGAAAAACCATTACAAATCAACATACCACTAATATGCCTGCATCTGCCCTATTACCCCCTCCCTTTCCTCCCCCTCCCCAATTCAAGTCACAGCAGCAAGAAAAAGCTGCAACTTTAATCTTTACTCAAAGTACATTTTTAAGATTTCACATGAATGGTTATTAGTGCATATGCAGTACTTTACCATTTTCCGTTTTGGTGACAGGCATTCATTGTAAAACACAAGTTTCAGAGTCTTTTAGAAGCAGCTTACAGGCTAAGGGCTGTTTGACAAAAGGGCTCTTTCTGTTGGTCTCTTACATAAAAACAGCCTGTGAAGGTGAATATTAACTATAGGTTGATTCTACCCTTACAGTTTACTTGAAGCTTTTCTGATCTTTTAACGTTAACCATTATCAGAGCAAACAAGTCCAGTTAATTCAGCTGGTATAAATGCTTCCACACAACCAGCTGCATCAAGGCTTCCCTCTTCTTTCCTCTGCTGAGCAAGGAAATCCTCCTGCAGGCTGAATGCCCCTTACTGGCGACTTTTGTTCTCTCACACTTACCCCACACACTCCAAATGTAACATCCTTCTTGCTGAGAGAGAGAGAAAAAAACTATTTCCTCTCGCACCTGTTGATGAATTGTGTTAGTGTACAAGGCTCAGACCGAGCTGTAACACGTGTCCTTATACAAACTGCACATGCCCAAAATAGTAGTTTCCTCACATGGGTAGTGGTGAATAGGGAAACCCTTTTCACAAAAACAGCAAAGAGGCTTGAGGCCAAATTACAGTAATCGTCATTGACAAACAGAAAATAATTCCCAGTTTGGGCAGGAAAGTCATAAGATGCCTCAATAACCTTAGCAGAGGGGGAAAAAGAAGCTGTTTGTGCTTTGTGGGTGAATGGTGCTGAATCCTTGCAGTCTCATTATGCTAAGAATATAGAAGAACAATATAGGAAGCCAGCTTTTTTCAAGTGCGTCTTCATGGTAGCTGCAGTTTTCACAATTTCAGAAAAAATATATGATATAAACCTGGAGGAATGGCTTTTACAAACACACCGCAGCTGTGTGTGTTCAAGTAAACTACTTAGATACCATGGAGCACGAGTAATATCAACTTTTCTTCTGGGCAAAAGTCAAGGAAATCTGAGAAAGCTTCTTGTCTAATTAAAAAAGAAAAAACTGTTTTTCTTGCTTGTTTTTTAAAAAAACAGTATTAAGCTTTATCTTGGTATGATGATGATATAGCAGCTACAAATGACACACTGAAGAAAAAGAAATAAAAGTAAAGGCAATGTTTTGTTTTTTTCTAGGAAATTAATGAAATGTATAGGCTCCTTCTCTTTATGATGCTGTTGCCAATTCCAACTAAAAGAGTACTGAAAAGAACACACGGTATGAAACTACAACTATGCTGTGACCTTACTATTCAGGAAAAAAAATCATATTGACATACATGCATCAGTTATAGAAAACTATATAGGCTGAAACCAGTATGGGCTATTCAGCAATTTCATATTCAGCATTTGGATCATCTTTTGTTCTCTCACCATGAAGCTGATTAATCTTAACAAATAGAGAGAATTTCTCCATCATCTGCTTTCAAAGGCAGGAGTTGGAGTTCTCGCTAAATAAACTTTATGTGTTTTTTTTTTTGGCCTGTCCCGTTTGGCTCTTTTGCCATCAGAATTGTTGTCTAAAGGCAAAGAAAGATGCCCAACGGATTTACTTTACCAAACTGACCATCCCAGCCTTGCCGTAATGGTCCATTTGATTCACCTTTTATTGTTTATTTTATTTTCACTTACTGAATACGGGACAGACTTGACTGGGGGAAAGAAGGGGAGAAAGAAAGAGGGAAAGAGAAACAGCTGAGAAGAGGGACGGGGGAGAAGGGCAAAAGACAAAAACCAACAGAACGGGCAGAGAAAAAAAAATGCATATGTGATTTTTGAAAGAAAGTGCACCGTTTTTTGTTACCAAAAAATAAAAAAATAAAAATCTGATGATAATGTGGATTCAACTGGGCTTTTTAAAATTTTAAAACCTAAAAAGCCATAGAAACTGTGTGGGAGTGATATCAATTCATCCAATAGCTAAATAAGAAATAAAATAAAACTATTCAGATCATTGATAAGTTAGGCAGCAAAAGTCTTAAATGCTTACTTTGAAAACATGTACGTTTGTCGCCAGGCTGCTCAGCTCCTGACCTCTTCCATTCTCGTGTCTGCTTATTTAGTGAAAAAAAAGCTTTGTGTTACGTATTCATGTTTCTTCAGAAAAAGAAGAGCAGCAAGGTGAGAGATGATGCTCAATAAACCGGGGGCGCGTAACCACTCGTGTGTCACATAACATAACTCTGTGCTGACGTAGGACATACTGCTACAGACGCTTACAATGGTTTACAACAGAACACAACACACGATGGAGAGCAACAGTTCAAGGTTTTAATTATGGACACAGATTCAGACAGAACATTATGTGACTGTGATTTGTTCCTATCAGATCTTCAGGCCTTGATTTTGACCAGAAGATACAACATAGTTCAATAAAGTACAGTACAGCTTTAAGCTTTGGATTTAAGTGCTGATCCATAGGCTGTGTTGGTTAAATGATCTGTGGTCGTACAAGCAGGAACAGAAGTGCTTGGGTCCGTCGCTCAGGAAAGATTCAGCCTTTAAATCAGCAACTTAGCTCAGCACCACTGTTGGTTGAGGTGAAGTTTAATGATGGACCAAGAAAAAATGAGAAGCACAAACCCTAGCAAGGTTAGGTAGAGGAAATATGCTTTATTAAAACAAACCTCCACAAATCAAAATATGCAAAATAGTCTGCGATGGCGGACCTCGCTGAGCTGTTGCACCTGATTGCTTTAAAGGAAGCATGCCCCCAACAGGAGCACAGAGTATTGCAAAATATGTTGACTACTCCCAGTCAGCCGTGTTTAACATTTGGACCAAGCAGAAACTAAATTGAAAGGCTATAAAATATATATCTGGAAATTTCACACATATAAAAGATGTAAGCGCAAACAAACAGATTCTCCTCTACTCGTTTATGCTACGGGGTCACGTTAGCTAAAGTTCCAGAGGAGATGGCAAGCTTTACCTCTACAGTAAATGCACAGATGGACAATTACATTTTGGACATTTTTCTCATTTCCCTGAGCAAAAAGCCTTAAAGCTTTTCATCAGGAAAGGCATAACGGCTCAATAACACGGCCAGCAAACAGTCCAGATCTCAACTTCAGTAAAAATTCAAGGTGGAAATTGAAGAATAGTGAATTTGCCCACCCACCATAAAACCCTGAATGGCTGCAACAAAGTTCAATTTCCGGGATTCAATTTTTTTTCACCCCAACATCAAATTAATCTACTTGCTCACCATTTCTCACCATTTTAGACAAAGCTGAATGGCTAAACCAACATGCTGGATTTCCTTCTTGAAAGACTTGTATAATCATTTCCATTGTTTCAACTGACAGCTCTCTTGTTAGAGCCATGCTTCCTTTCATTACATCAAGCGCAACAACTCACTGTGGTCTGCAAACACTCTCTTTTAACTGCAGACTATTTTGCAGATTTAGATTTGTCTATATTTGTTTTAGATAAAAAAGATTAAAAGATGTTCCGACTGTTTTTCGTTTACTGGATTTGGGGGAAAATGTGTCATTAACTAAAATAACTAAATTTATTCAGAGTAAATTTCATGCATCAAGAATGTTCAGTTATTGATCAAAAAAGGAACAGTTTTGTGATTTGTTTAGTCGTTAATAGTAAAAACAGTCAAGTGAGCATCTTCTAAGTGTGTTGATTGCATCATTTTTGCCAGGGGTTGTACAGCTCATGTGATTCCTCTCTATCAGCAACATGTATTTAGGGCTTTAAAACATAAAGCCCCTATAAACGCCTGTTAACATTCAACATGAAGGCAATTTCAAAATCACCTTCGCTGAATACACTGTTGGCATAGAAACAGTGACTTGTCAACACTGGTCCAGTGGAAAAGCTGCAAGAGTTGACCCTGCTGCTTTGTAGACTTACAGTGAATATTACTGCTGTGACTCCATTTACTGGCCTGGTTCCTTTAAAAATGGGATTTACTACTTCTAGTCCATGATGTAAAGGGGGGAAAAAATCCTGACTAAGCTAATCAGAAACAAAACTTGTATGCAAAGGCAAAAGCACCAAAAATAAACCATTTAGCAGCAAACTAAGAGGAGTTTTACAGTTTAGTAGCTGCAACTAGGGGCAATACTTCAAGAGCCAGATACAGTTGTGGTCAGAAGTTTACACAGACTCATCAGAGGGATGAATGTTATGGTAATTTTGTGCTTTAATGGTTTCCTTGAGCTGTTGTTTTTCCAGGTGGAATAACTGTACAGCATATATCTTTAGTGACTTTAAAAAACAAGAATTGGGTGTACAAGTTTGACACCAGGTGTATCTCTCTAATACACCTGCGGTCAAAATTTCACATATAGGTTCAAATATATAAGCACATTTGCAGTAATATTTGGTTAAATATTCCTTAGCAAGCTGCACCTTGATCAGATGGTTTTTGTAGCCATCAACAAGCTTCTGGCATAATCCGGGCAGGATATTTGACCACTCCTCTTGGCAGAAATAGCAGAGTTTATTTAAATTCGTTAGTTTTCGGAGACGGAGCTGGATTTAGGCATAGTACAGAAATTTTCAATTGGGTGAGCCTGGAATTTGGAAAGGCCATTCCAGAAACTAGGCTGCTAATGCTAGGCTGCTTTATCCATTACAAAACCAGTTTTGATATATTTCTGGGATCACTGACCTGTTGGAACACTACGCTGTCTACCTGTTGAGTTGAAGTTGAAAAATTTGAAGGTAGTACTGCTTGCTTCATTATTCCATCAACTCTGCACAATGTTCCAGCACCACTGGCATCAAAACAGCACCAGAGCATGATGCTATCACTTATATGCTTGATAGCTGGTACAGAGTTTTTATGGTTGAAAGCCTCACCTTTACTCCTATAAACATTTACCTGGTGATTTATACAAATAGCTCAATTTTCATCTTATCTGATCACAAAAATTTCCTCCAGAAGGCGTTTGGCTTTTTCACGTGGGCAGCTACAAATTAGAGTTTAGCTTGAAGGTTTTGGAGCAGGAGCTTCTTTCTTGGTCAGCACCCTTTCAGTACAGGTGATGTAAAACGCGGTTCACTGTAGACAGTGATGCTGGTGTTTCTACATATTTCAATTCATGACAGGCTTGAGCTTTGTTGGTTCCTTCGTTGTTCCTGAAGGTCCTAACCAATTTATTCTCATCCGAGGGTGATTGATTGAATTTTCCTCCAAACCTTGGCTGGTTTGTGTCAGTGACATATGTGAATAACTTGTACTTATATAAAACTATTTAATTGATGATCCTGGAATCGCCAGTTGTTTAGAAATAGCTCCAAGAGACCTTCCCAACATATGTAAATTCTCTATTTTAGATCTTCACAGAGTTGCTTGGACGTTCTCACTGCTCTGAATTATGATCAATCCGATGAGTGCTGTCAAACAAATCATTTTATGTTGGCAAAGAGAAAGAACCAGCTCTAGTCGATTCTGAATACTAAAGAAAGGCATCACAGAATTTTCAGCACCAGTTATTAAAGATGGGTGTATTAGAGAAAGTCCAAAATAATTTCAGACTTGTGCACGCAATCCTTATTTTGTTAAAGTCATTAAAGAAGTATGCTGTACAGTCATTTCACCCTGGAAAAAATGGTTGCAATAAATCAATCACCACCTCTGCACCTCTATAAACTGGCAGGACATATATTTATATATACCTTTATAGCCTTATTCATATTACTCAGTTTTGTCTTAAAACTTGTTATGAGATGTTTTCTAGAAAAGAAGACAAAACTAAACCACTTCAGGTGTTTCCCTTAGTCTGGCTGGCCCTGATGATGCTGTCTTTTATAATTTCATTAAAACCTGTGAACTGAATTTCACAGGTTCATACAGCTCAACTGCCTTTATCTGAGCCTTAGGCCTCTGAAGTGTCCTTGCATACCTGCAATGTCTGTTTTGTAGAAAATGTTCCTGTAGTGTGATAACAGAGAACTCAATAATAGAGTTTGAATGACAGCTTTTTTTTCATGATTTGCAGACTACAAGAGTAAAACAGTCATCACACACACCTTTAACACGTTACTAAATCGGTTTTGTGTGGATTTCTTTTCCAGCTATGTTGTTAAAATAGTTGGTCCGTAGACATATTAAGTTAAAACCCCTCCATAATAACTTATGAATTTCCATCTTTGTCTTATACTGTATTTAAAATTATACTTACATAACAGTTTGAAAAGACTGGACGCTGAACACGCCGGGAGTGAAACGATGAATGACTACTTGTGTTTTGGAGATGTAAACCACATTAAATATATTATTTAGTGAGGGTGGATAATTACAGTGATCGACAAATGCGTGGCAACTAATGCTTGCTTGACATGTTCTGATTAGCCCTCATTTTAGCTGAAACCACGGAAGAGGAGGATGACTGGGTCCTGGGGGAGGAGAAGAGCAGGATGACGATGAGGTGAAGTTTATAGACACGGATGAAGTGAAGTGACGACATGCAAGAGGGATGACTCAATCACCCACTGGCTGCATGCTACCAGAGGTCAGACAGCATGCAGAGGAGATGGGGAAAATGTATGAAAAAGAGACTAAATCCTTGTGACATTATCTGTTTCTTTCTTCTTCTTCTTTTAAGCAATTAATCATTGAGGACCCACTGAGACAGCATGATGACAAGAACCGCATGCTCAGATTTCTATCTTACTGCAGCTCAATGACAGATAGGAGAGCATGCTGGATATGAGAAAATCTCCAGTCAGGTACAAAAAGAACAAATGTTTGATATGAATCATGCTGACATATTTTCACAGTAAAGAGTAGTTGGGTCTTACACACATGGAGTGTGGCTGGTATGGATTGACACAAGACTGATGGAAGTTCAGGACAAGCTATTATATTTGCTCCTGTCAGGTCTATAATTTTGCTCCCCATATCTGAAAGTTTCCATTCCATGTTGGTCTATTTGAAGATGCATGGTTTGCTTCTGTGAGACAAGCCCACTACCTGATACACTCATTTTGCATAAATCATCACATCTAAAGAGGAACAGACATCAGCAAAGAAACCAGGACATCCATGGTTGCAACACCACTAAGGCGAAGATGGCTCATTAGGGCCTGTCCCAAGTCTCCACTCATTTCATTTCATTGTTCCCTCATGCTCACGGTCAAATGCCATCAATTGTTGCACTTCACTTGCCTGCCAATCAAACACATTTTTCCAAGCTGTTGGAGTCTTCCAGTCCTGCAGCCAACCAACCATGCCAAGGCAGGTGTCTATCTCATTGGACACGAGCCCATGTGGGCTCTTGAAATGCAACATTTTCCTTCTAAAATCAGAAGAGGTCCCCAAGTTTGCCGTTTTTGATCGTTGGCATTGAAAATGCTGCCTGTGGAGGACATTTTTACAAATTCCCAATTTAAAACATTAGATTAAAAAAAGTAAGTTGCATTACATCAGTGTAACTTTGATTAGATGCAGGTATGGTAATACTGTAAAGTCAGCATGGCATGTAGTCTACAAGACTGTGGAGCTCTCCTTCTGCTGCTTTTTTTAATCTAAATAAATAAAATGTGTTTTACTTACCAAAATACACTGTCTGCATCCTTCAAGTTTAGCAAAATTGTTAAACACAAGCGGCCTTCCTCTTCACTGCCTTTGTTGCCGTGCGGCTGCTGCCACCTGCATGTTGGAGGCTGGGCATGTGTATCCTTATGTAAGTGCACAAACTGATACAGAGCATGACGCCAAAGAGAAGAGTCACTTTCACCTATACATAAAGCAAATACGCATCCAAGTCATGGTCATTTTTTTGCTCAAAATCAGCAAAAATGTTGACAAATCAACCAACTAGGCATCTTTTGCAAGGTTCGAGATGTCTCAGTCATTTTGCTAATCCCTTGTAGCTGTGAAACAACTAGTCAGCCACTTGCCAGACGAGTTATTCTGAGACAGGTTTTTTTTCCCCCTCCCCTTCCACACAATGAAATATGAATAGAAGTGGTGGGGATAGTTGGCAGCTGTCAACAAATTCCACAGCTTCCCGCCACCATCGATCAATCAGTCCCATATCTGAAGCACAACTGTGCTAACCCGTTGGCTAGAACTGACATTAATCCTAAACCTTCCAGTCAGCGCGAGGGAATAACAGGATATAAGGTGGTGGGAGCGAATGCTGATACAGGCACTAAAGAGGAAAGGTGCCAATGCTAATGAGTGTATCTGTGGCTCTTTAACGAGCCCGATTTGATGTCCTAATTTACAATGAGCTGTGTCTCAGGGGCGAAGGATAATGAGCAGGACCGGGATTCCCAAGGCAGAGGCTTGTGTAACCCATCTCATGCAGGGGACAGTCACTCCCACAGAGTGTGAGTAAGAGACAGACAGTAGCACAGAGAGCAGGAAGGACATATTCCATGTCTGTAGGAGAGAGGAGGGTGCATGTCATCCCTGCCTGATATGATTGTTTGTACACACCAATCATTGAATCGCTGCGTCCACGTGAGAAAAGCTTGTGTTCTCCGTGACAAACTGACCTCGGGCAACAAGAGCACTCACAGAAAGAGGAAATGGAGAAGGAAAGCATGGCGGGTGGGGGAGAAGCAGCGGGTTTGGAGAACAGATACCAAATATTGTAGACTGTGATAAAACAATACTCTATTTTCTCACTTTCCTTTCTGTGCTTAAATTACACAAAATTTTGCATTGAAATTTTTATACTGAGCAGCCCTGGGAAAAAAGAAGAAAAAGTCTGATTCTAGTGCACTCTGAAGCAAATTAACAAATGTGGAGCTCAGTGACCTCAGTGCAGAGACCATGCACACACAGTATGCAGTGCGCCCTACCACCCCCACCTCTTACTGCTGCGTCTGCATGGCTGCATTAGTCAAGCTCTGATGGGTTTTTCCGCCATGAGAAGCAGAGCATGACATGCGCTCAACAATGGCAGGCAGATGACGAGCCAGCTCCATTTGATGATGGCCTCTGTCGCAGCGGCCGCTTTTTTTGATGTGGAGGAATACAAGGGCAGCGTGATTCATTATGGGTGCACAGGTGGCCCGAGATCTAATGAGTCACATTTTGTGCAGTTCAAACGGCTCTCTGAGAGGAATGCACATGCTTTAAAAACAAGTGCGTATCAGAGCTCTCGTTGCCACTTTTGCTGCAGAGGTATCAGCTGCTTTTCCTCATGTCGGGAGGACAGATTTCATTCTACAAATTAAAAAGTAGCACCACAATAAGCTTCTGCAACCCTACCAATAACCTGCAGTGTCTATTGCTGATATTTGGATTATACATCTGCTCCTAGTTTCTAGTTAAACCTTTAAACCTCCCAGCATTAAATTCTGCTTAAAAACATTTTAAAAATACAATCACTGAATAAACACGGTTTTTAATCAATCAGATTTCAGAGAACTGTGCATCACAGTTTTAAGTGTTTCTGCTGGCCTCTCTAATCAGTCTTGGTTATTAACACTGCCCCCCTCTGGCTAGTTGGCACTCTGATTAGGACATTGTTTTGCATTGTACTGTACTTTCTAAAGGATCTAATTTATCTATGGCACTGGAAAAGTCTAGAAATTAGAAATCATATTCTGTCTTTCTCATAACAATCATTTAGACAAAATATTAATAGTTCTTCCTTCTATGGATATTATTTGGGAAGCATGTTCTACCTTGTTTAAGCATGCTAGTCAATTCATCACAGGAGCCACAACAATCCAAATTGTGCCTGATCTATTAACTGCTTGCCACTGAGCACCATTTGAACGTTTGACCTTCTAGCACAGCTCCTGACATTATGTTGACATTTAAAGTAATCCCTCCCGCAGTTCTTAATCCCAGTTGTCGTGGACTGGCCTGGCCATTCGCTGAGATCAAGCCCCTCATAGTACATGCTGCTCTCACCACACCCCGGCAGAAAAGGCGTTGAGAAAGGAACAACTTTGACACTGCCAGTCTGCGACATCCTTGTGCTTCGGAGATCACAGCTCAAAGCATGTAGCAATACACAAACTGAGGCATTAAGTTGAATGTACACTGTCATTACACTTTGACAGAGCTAAGGATTAGATTTTCCTAAAATAAATAAATACCAGGCAATATTCAGAGAATCCAGATTAACAACACATACAGCTGTTGTGAAGGCATCTCACATCTGGATGAGGAAAACACTGGGTTTCATGGACACACAGAAAAAAGAAAAAAAATGATGAACTCATCTGATTTTCTTTTATTAAGCATGTTGTTCCCGATTTTTCCTGTAACCCTTCACTTTCACAGCTGAGACAGCTTTTAATAAAATGTTTGGCGTTACATAATCTAACTGCAGAGAACGTGTCATTCGGACAACAGGCCCCGACAGATAAAAGTGATTAAATGAGAGGTACAAGATGACAACCCATTTATTTAGTAATACATTCTGCAAACTAGAAATTTTATTCAAACTTCAAAGGCTAAAAAATGAAAGAAAGGAGGGAGGGAGATAGGTGGGGGGGGGGGGGGGGGGGGGGGGGGGGGGGGGGGGATTTGAGTAGCAGGGAGAAAAATGCATCTATTCACAAGCAAGGAATGCAATTTGTTCAATCGACAACACAAATAGAACAATTTAGTTCAGGGAGCAAAGCTTTTTTTTCCTTTTCTTTTTTTTTAAACACATTTCTTTTTTTTCCCGCCATTCCTTTGGAGCTAGAACATAATACAAAATATACAGTTATTGAACTTTGTAAAATCACTCACAGAGGCCTCTGAGAAGCATTTGAATCAACACTGACAATACTTAACTACAGCACTCTAAAGCTATTCTTGAATGTAATCATAAATAGAGCAGACAATGTATGTATGCACATTTTGAATGCTTACGAGGTTACCATGTTAAAACACTTGCATTTGTTGAAAGTATGACATCATCTGCAGTGGAAATTAAATAAGCTTTCATGACACAGATTTGATACAGTAACATGGAGAGAAGAAAAACCAAACAAACCCGCGAAGGTTGAAAAGTTCTAACTGGTGACAACCTGGCAAAGTCACTTTGCTGATAGCTTAAGTACCTTAAAATGGACAGATTTCATTTTCTGAGAGTGTAATGTTAGCAGCATTACTTCTCCTCGTAGTGTTTTGTTGGACAAGTACTTTAGGGGGGCAATGTGAGTTTGGGTAAGGCAAATCGGTGAGCTTATTTATGAGCTGAGAAAAAAAAAAAAGAAAAGAGAGAGAAAAAAAAAGGTCGAAGCGAGGCTCAGCACGTCCTGTAAGGGGACGAATAAACCACCACCACTAAGGGTCACACAGTAAACGCCACAACTGAGGTACATAAATATGCACAAGAGGGCGCAAGCTTTTAAAATCTCTTCAGCTTCTGCCAGGTAATCCTCTGTACAAGAATATACAGGATGCATTCCAGGCAACCAAAGTAACTCTGTAA